AGAGTTCTTGCGACCCTGGAGAAGGTAGGATGTGGTAGACTCCATGACAGACCCCCTGGCCTCAAGGTTCTGTTGGTAAATGCCAGATCCGTCAATGGTAAGACCGCTGCCATCCAGGGCTTGTTCCTGGATGAGGGGGCGGATCTGGCTTGCATTACTGAGACCTGATTGGACGAGTTGGGTGGGGTAAATCTCACCCAGTTATGCCCACCGGATTTCGGGGTGCACCAGCAGGCCAGGCCTGGGGGGCGAGGAGGAGGGGCCGCAGTAGTCTTTCGGCAGTCCATCGCCATGGTCAGATGCTCTGTTCCGCAGTCATCTGGGTTTGAGTGTGTCCACCTGAGGGTGGGGAACCGTGATAGCCTGGGGTTTCTGCTGGTATACCGCCCACCCCGCGACTCGGCAGTTTCCCTGCCTGAGCTAGCAGATATGGTCTCCAATTCAGTCTTGATCTCCCAGCACCTGGTTGTGCTGGGAGATTTCAACATCCATGCTGAGACCTCTTTGACTGGTGTGGCTCAGGACTTCATGGCTGCCATGACGACCATGGGGCTCTCACAAATCATATCTGGACTCACCCACCAGGCTGGACATACACTCGACCTAGTTTTTGTGGCAGACAGTGTAAGGGTCAGAGTGGAAGAACAAAACATCCTTCCTTTGTCATGGTCTGACCACTATCTGATCAGTTTTAGACTGTCTGCGACCTCTAACCTCCGCAGGGGTGGAGGACAAATGAAGATGGTCCGCCCCAGGAGACTGATGGATCCAGAGGGATTCCTGAGGAATCTTGGGGTTCTTCCTGCCATCGAGCCTGGTGATCCTGTAGATGCCTTGGTTGATCATTATAACAGGGAGATGACCAGGGCGATAGATATGATCGCTCCCAAACGCCCCATCTTGTTGCGTCGAGGCACACCATCTCCCTGGTTCACCGAGGAGTTGGTTGTGATGAAACACACGAGAAGGGGGCTAGAGCGCACATGAAGGAAATCTCGAGACGTGTCTGACCAAGCACGGGCTACAGCCTCTCTTAGGGCGTATACCACGGCTATACGGGTAGCCAAGGAGTCTTTCATGACTGCCCGTATAGCGTCTGCAGAAAATACATCATCGGAGCTGTTTCGGGTTGTCAGGGAACTCCTTCACCCACCCGTGGTGGAGGAGACCTTCGACGACCCAGCAACTCGGTGTTGCGAGTTCGCACACCATTTTGCAGGCAAAGTTGCTCAGATACGCCTTGAGCTGGACTCCAATTCCATCACAGTGCCAGGAAAGGTGACTGAGGCATCTGCTTGTCCAACTTTGTGGGATTCTTTTAGGCTTGTTCATCCTGAGATCGTGGAGGAGGTCCTTGGTGCTGTGAGGGCGACCACGTCGGCTTTAGATCCTTGTCCGTCTTGGCTAATTAAATCGGCCAGGGATGTGTTGACGGATTGGTTTGTGTTGATCATTAATGCATCATTGGAGCACCGAGACGGCTTTGGTTGCCTTGGTGGATGACCTCCGTAGAGAGCTGGACAGGGGGAGTGTGACCTTGTTGATTCTCTTGGACATCTCAGTGGCTTTCGATACCATCGATCATTGTATCCTTCTGGGTCTACTCTCTGGGATGGGTCTCGGGGGCACGGTTTTGTCGTGGCTCCGATCCTTCCGGGAGGGTAGGTCCCAGTTGGTGAAGCTGGGAGACGCCTGCTCGGACCCCTGGCCTTTGACCTGTGGGATCCCGCAAGGCTCCATTCTGTCTCCCATGCTTTTTAACATCTACATGAAACCGCTGGGAGAGGTCATCCGGAGTTTTGGAGTTAGGTGCCATCTCTATGCAGATGACACACAACTCTACTACTCTTTTCCACCCAACTCCAAGGAGGCCTCTCGGGTGCTAGACGAGTGCCTGGCCGCTGTGTCTATCTGGATGAGGAGAACAAGCTGAAGATTAATCCCGACAAGACAGAGGTCCTCCTGGTCGATCGTAAACCGGATCGGGGTATAGGGTGGCAACCTGTGCTGGACGGGGTTACACTCCCCCTGAAGTCACAGGTCCGCAGTTTGGGAGTCCTCCTGGACTCATCACTTACGCTTGAGACTCAGGCGTCGGCGGTAGCCAGGAGGGCTTTTGCACAATTGAGACTCGTGCGCCAACTGCGACCGTACCTCCTACAGGCTGATCTGGCCGGGGTGGTCCATGCCTTGGTCACCTCTAGATTGGACTACTATAATGCGCTCTACGTGGGGCTGCCCTTGAAAACGGCTCAGAAATTCCAATTGGTCCAACGGTTGGCGGCCAGGCTGTTAACTGGCAGTCCTTACAGAGAGAGGTCAAACCTCCTGTTTAAGGAGCTCCATTGGCTACCGTTCATTTTCCAGTCCCAATTCAAGGTGCAGGTGCTCACCTACAAAGCCCTAAACGGTTTGGGACCCGCCTACCTGCGTGACCACATCTCCATATACGAACCCACGCGTTCATTTCGGTCATCTGGAGAGGCCCTGCTCATGATCCCACCTGCGTCGCAAGAGCGTTTGGTGGGGACAAGGGACAGGGCCTTCTCTGTGGTGGCCCCCCGACTCTGGAACTCTCTCCCCAAGGACATCAGACAAGCCCCAACGTTGGCAATCTTTAGGAAGAGCCTGAAGACCTGGCTGTTCCAGTGTGCCTTTCCAGATTAGGAAACTCCTGGCATCATGTCCCAAATGCACTTTGTTAGAGACTAGGATTGTCTGCACATTGCACCTACCTCTACATACCTCCTGTTAAGTTCAGCACTTTTAAATTCCGTCCATTACATTTGGCCCGGCCTTAGGTTTTAAATGCGTCATGATGTCATTGTTTTTAGTGTTTTATTGTTTTGCTTGACGTTTATTATTTGTTTATGAGTTTTACTGTGATATTTGTATTTTGTTGTTGTCGGCGGCCTTGGCCTTTGTAAGCTGCATTGAGTCCTTCGGGAGATTTTGCGGGGTATAAATAAAGTTAATAATAATAATAATAATAACAGAAAATACTGGAAGGGTTTGGTGGGCATTGACCTTGAAATTTTGGAGTTGTAGTTAACCTACATCCAGAGAACAATGTGGACTCAAACAGCGATGGATCTGGACCCATCTTGGCACAAATACTCAATACGCCCAAATATGAACACTGGTGGATTTGGGGGAAAACAGACCTTGCCATTTTGGAGTTGGAGTTGCTGGGATTTATAGTTCACCTACAATCAAAGAGCATTCTGAAACCCACCAATAACAGAATTGGGCCAAACTTCCCACACAGAACCCGCATAACCAACAGAAAATACTATGTTTCTTGATGGTCTTTGGCAACCTCTCTGAACTCCCCTAGTGACCCCACCCCCCGGAGTCCTGACCCCCAGGTTGAAAAGCGCTGCGTTAAAGCATAATCATGTTCTCATGGGGATGTGATAGTACCATGTATTAAACAGACATGTAACAGTAATCATATAGCTGCATTTGTTAATATATATGTGTGCACAAGGAATTTCAATGCAGTATTTTAAAATTTGGAACCTGTTTCCAAAAATATCCTCAAAATATCCAGAAATAACAGCAGTAAAACCAATTTGATATGGTCACATTTTTTTCTCTAAATTAGAAGTGGGCTATCAGATTTCACCCTTTGGCTGCAATCCAGGAAACGTAGTTGGCCTTACACCTCATTTTGAAGCAATCCAATAAATCAGTTAACAGCTAGCGTAAACTCCACTGGATTAAGTGGAATTTTGTCAGGATGGGAGCAGGGATCCATTTCAATATACAAGTTTTACTTATGACATTTTTCAACTTCAAGCATCTCCAAGAATTCAATGCCTGGGTTATCATGAGATATGTCATGTGTTTAAACAGACTTACCATTTTCACAGACTTATTATACATCTTAACATAATGGTGAGAAAGCTGAACTTCATCAATTTTGAAGGTCACACCTGAAAAGCTCAGCTGCCTTGCTATGTACATTCCTCGTAGCTTCATATCCATAGCAACGATTTCCATGGCACCTACGCCTCTGAAGACGAAACAGATAAAATGAAGACAATTTTAAACATGAGTTTTTTTCCCAAATACATAGCTACTGGGCACACTGGGAAAGGATGGCACTACACACAAGGCTGGGGATATGAACAGTAAAGTAAAATTGCTAGACATTTTGAAACCAAGGACACGAGCCTGTATGTAATATAAGGAGTCGTCTGAAAATAGTGGATTTTGCCCATGCTCCGGTTTTGATTTGACTATAGAATGTGGAACCAGAAAGCAGATTCCCTTCCCTTATTTAAGTAGCTTAGATCTTTGAATCTGAAGGTCTGCAGGCATGGGGTTCGCTTTGCTTGTATTTTCTAGAATTTTCAGCTCAACTGGGTATCTCTTTCCATTAAATCTAACGGTGTTCTGGTATCTTGTTGTTTGAAATGGCTAGATTTATTTACTGACAGCAGACAGACCTCGATGGGTATATGGCTCTGCTCTACAACTGACCAATGAGAAAAGTTCAAATTCCATCTCAAATCACGATGATGATTGTCTTACTATTGTAGTAGAATCAAAAACCTCAGACAATGCTGATTTAAACAAGGCCATTTGCATTGTCCCAACTGGCCAATGCCAATAAAGGCAAGACCCTCCCTTAAGTGGTTTAAACCTCCATGAAATATGAATACTGTATCAGACACCAATCTCCACTTAAATGGCCTCCAATTCTAAACGTCCCTTTTGGGCATTGTAGTAACCGACAATTCTCCATTTTCAGAGTTTGTGCTATTCAGACCCAAGATTTTCCCTCAACAAAAAATATCCCTTAAGAAAGCATACACAACATGCAAATGAAGAATGTTTAACAGGAAACATCTTCAGAGACACTGAGATAATACCCATGTGTCTTTTATTGTGACCTTCCACATATAAAACACATGTTCTGCTACTGAGCAATGCCTCTTTCCAGAGTTTATAACAGCTGCTGATATCCAGATTCAAGAACATACCTTCTTTCAACAGCCTGAATAAAGTCACTGAACTCCCTAAATGGAGTTCCTTCACCCCATATACCAAGTCGATTCATATATGCCATATTGCGTGGCTCAGATGCACCTAAAAGTGAAAACTTAGTTTTTAAAAATGTATTCAAAGAAAGAAAAAAAGCATACAATACATATTAGGTATATATCTTAGACAGTACATACCTGTGGCACTAGCATAAACCACTCTGGCCTTGGGAAGTTTATTCTGCAGCTCCAGAACAGCCAGCCCGGTCTTCGTTGGTTTTGAAGAGCCAACAGGGCAAAGATTCTTTGCCTTGTGACATTCATCAAATACTATCTGAATCAATTGTTAAGGAATGGACAATGAAAAATGACCAAAATAACCACATTCAGTACCATTATTGGCACTGAACAATAAAAAAGGTTTTGTCACATTTGTTAACTCTGAGATTCAAAATTAGCGAGCCGTAAAAGCCTAATTTACACTGAATAAAGGAACAGCTAGAATCAGACATTCTTTGCAACAGAATTTATAAAGAGCTAAACGATGATTTGGTTGTTGCACCATGTTAAAACACTGAAAAGATACAACTCCGTCGAAGTCATCTCCACACCAGTGGAGAAGCTGCTTGAGCCTGGTTTTATATTTTCCTCCAGACTGACTTTCCCCAATAAGAGATGAGTATGTGGCAAATATAACACCTTTCTTCACACTTCCATTATGTTTAGAAGAAATCTTTCCATATTTGAACTAAAAAAAAAGATGAAGAGTGTGAAAGACATCCTACGACTGGCACAGCTATTCGCTTCAACTACAGACTTTAACACAGACAACTCAATTCTCACTAGCAAGAAATAAAATCTCGAGTTTTAGATGTGAGATAAGCTAGCAGCTACTCAAAATTCACCTTCAACACAAAATTGTATAACAGACTCTGAATTTGTCTGAGACTGGAATCAGCTGAACCCAGAATGAAACACATATATTTACACAATTTCTTTAGCTTATAAATTGGCCTAGAGACAGGTGAGTTTGTGCCTCTGCCATCTTGTTTTTGTGTGAGAGCTTGGGGGAGTCATTAATCTGAAATGCAATAAACCAAAACCATCTAATCCAAAGTTACTTTTCCAAGTCACATTGAGGCAGGCTTGTTTTCCATTGCTCCTGAGGCTAGGACACAATGGAGCAATGGATTAAAATTGCAGGATGAAAGATTCCATTGAGATATTAGGCAAAATGTCCGATGGTAAAAGATGTTCAACAGTGGAATATGCTGCCTCAGAGCATGGAGGGCCTCCTTCCTTCTCTGGAGGTGTTTAAACATTCCTGGTCGCTCTCTGGAATGGGGAGATGACTAGGGCAATTGACACGATCGCTCCGGAACGTCCCCTCTCAAGTAGCCGAGCTAAACCAGCTCCCTGGTTCACCGAGGAGCTGGCAGCGATGAAGCGAAGGAAGAGGGAACTAGAGAGTGTGTGGCGTTCGGATCCGAGTGAGCCAAATCGAACACGGTTTGTATCCTTTTTAAGGGCATATGCCGCGGCAATAAAAGCCGCAAAGAAGGCCTTCTTTGCGGCCACTATTGCGTCTGCAAAGAACCGTCCGGCTGAGCTGTTCCGAATTGTCAGAGGCCTTTTAAATCCCACCGCTCAAGGTGGGAACCCTGACGATTCGACTTCTCGCTGTGAAGCTTTTGCTCAGTTCTTTGCAGACAAAGTCGCTTTGATCCATTCTGGTCTGGATACCATGTTAATGGCAGTCTCTGAGGATGTAACACGAGCACCTGCTTGTCCAGTTTTGATGGATTCATTTCAATTGGTGAAACCCGAGGATGTGGACAAGATACTTGGAGGAATTAGGCCAACCACATGCATCCTGGACCCCTGCCCATCCTGGCTTCTAAAGGAGGCCAGAGGGGGATTGGCTGAGTGGGTTAAGGTGGTGATTAATGCTTCCCTTCGGGAAGGCAAGATTCCAGCGAGCTTAAAACAAGCTATAATAAAACCGCTGTTGAAAAAACCATCACTGGACCCCACTAAATTCGACAACTATCGGCCAGTTTCCAATCTCCCCTTCTTGGGCAAAGTCTTGGAACGTGTGGTGGCCTCATAACTCCAGGTATTCTTGGTAGACCCGGCACAGTCTGGCTTTAGGCCGGGACATGGTACCGAGACAGCCTTGGTCGCCTTAGTGGATGATCTGCGCCGGGAGCTCGACAGGGGGAGTGTGTCCCTGTTGGTGCTGCTGGACCTCTCAGCGGCCTTCGATACCGTCGACCACGGTATCCTTCTGGGACGCCTCGCAGGGATGGGTCTTGGAGGTACTGTTTTGCAGTGGCTCCGGTCATTCCTGGAGGGTTGATCTCAGAAGGTGTTGTTGGGGGACACCTGTTCAACCCCACAACCATTGTCTTGTGGGGTTCCTCAGGGCTCAATATTGTCTCCCATGTTGTTTAACATCTACATGAAGCTGCTGGGGGAGATCATCCGGAGTTTCGGGGTACGGTGTCATCTGTACGCGGATGATGTCCAACTCTGTCACTCCTTTCCACCTGCTACTAAGGAGGCTGTCCAGGTCCTGAACCGGTGTCTGGCCGCTGTGACGGTCTGGATGAGGGGGAACAAATTGAAATTGAATCCAGACAAGACAGAGGTACTCCTGGTCAGTCGCAAGGCCGAACAGGGCATAGGGTTACAGCCTGTGTTGGATGGGGTCGCACTCCCCCTGAAGACACAGGTTCGCAGCTTGGGTGTGATCCTGGACTCATCGCTGAGCCTGGAACCCCAGGTTTCGGCGGTGACCAGGGGAGCATTTGCACAGCTAAAGCTTGTGCGCCAGCTGCGCCCGTACCTTGGGAAGTCTGACTTGGCCACGGTAGTCCACGCTCTGGTTACATCCCGTTTAGACTACTGCAACGCTCTCTACGTGGGGTTGCCTTTGAAGACGGCTCGGAAGCTCCAACTAGTCCAACGCTCGGCAGCCATGATTTTAACAGGAGCGGAGCGCAGGGAGCATACAACCCCCCAGTTGCGGCAACTCCACTGGTTACCGATCTGCTACCGGGCTGAATTCAAAGTGCTGGCGTTGGCCTTTAAAGCCCTAAACGGTTCCGGCTCAAGCTACCTATCCGACCGCATCTCTGCCTATGAACCCACCAGGACTTTGAGATCTTCCAGGGAGGCCCTGCTCTCGATCCCGCCTGCTTCTCAAGCACGGCTGGCGGGGACGAGAGATAGGGCCTTCTCGGTGGTGGCTCCTCGGCTGTGGAACGCCCTTCCTATGGACATTAGACTAGCACCATCTCTAATGGAATTCCGCAAAAAAGTGAAGACCTGGCTGTTTGAGCAGGCGTTCGAATAATTAGTGCAATGATTGGTTAATGAACACTGGAATGGAACAATGGATGACGAATCTGGAACATGTTTTTGATGACGAGACGACAGTGAATGGGTATTGTAGTAACTGTTTATTAATTGTGTAATGTGTTAGGTTGTTAACTGTTTTTATACTGTAGCACTGAATTTTTGCTGTTCGTATTTGCTGTGAACTGCTGTGAGTCGCCTTCGGGCTGAGAACAGCGGTATATAAGTAAGGTAAATAAATAATTAATTAATAAATAAACAGAGGCTGGGTGGCCATCTGTCAAGAATGCTTTGTTCTGTGCTCCTGCATGGCAGGGGAATGGACTGAATAACCCTTTGGGTCTCTTCCAACTCCAAAATTGTACAATTCCTAGTTTTTGCTGGAGGGATTCACAGACCTATGGACTAAGATCTGACGTTACAATAGCTTTAAGTGCATGACTGCACTATTGTGGAGAATACATCTCTTGAGGCCCTAGAGAACAAGAGAGATCCCACTCTCCCCTAAAAGCCCAACTGCACTTGATGTGTCCTAAAGTCCTGCATTTAGAGGGTTGGAAGAAATAATAATGGGAAAAACAACTGTAGCACTGGATTCAGCTCCATGTGTTTCAATTGCTGGAATAAAACCCTCAACCCTGAATGCTGATCAAAATTAACATTTTGTGCTGGTCTTGACTTATAAAGCCCTATACGGTTCCGGCCCAGCTTACTTGTCCGAAAGTTTCTTTCTCTATGATCCACCTTGGAATTTATGATCATCAGGGGAGGCCCTCTCTTGATCCCTCCACCCTCGCAAGCGTGGTTGGCAGGGATGAGACAGGGCCTTCTCGGTGGTGGCCCCCTGTCTATGGAACACACTCCCCAGCAAGATTAGGATGACTCCCTCTCTCCTCTCCTTTAGAAAAAAGCTTAAGTCTTGGCTTTGGGACCAAGCATTTGCGCAGCTGACCGAGCAGCAATTACAATGACTTACGAGAATTATCAATGAATAGACCTGGACTGGAACTCTGGATTATGCTTTGAATTTGAGGATCTAGGCTTCGTAGTTTCATAATATCTTAATGGTTAATATTTTAATGTATTTATAATTCTTGTTTTATTTAATGTCAAATTGTTTTTACTTATTGTTTTTGTGTCGGCATCTCTAAGGGTTGCCAATTGTGAGCCGCCCTGAGTCCCCCTTCAGGGTTTGAGAAGGATGGGATACAAATGTCCAAAATAAAATAAAATAATAAATCCGTTACTATTGTTATACTACCACTTTAAGCAATCGGCTGCAATATAATGTCTAAGATAGACATCATTCATTTAGTATGAAACTCACACAAGCACAACTATTATTTCTACCAACTGTATATAGTAAAGTTTCCACACCTTATTTAATGAATGGACCAAAATGTTTTTTGCTCCAATATCTCTCAAATCTCTTTCCGCATCATATTTCAGATCGTTTGAAACACTAAACCTAAGAAAGAGTAAACACAATACCATCATAAAGACAATAGCAGCAAATGCATACAGAAAGATAAATTGCAAGTTTTTAATACTCATATCTGAATCTTCAGTACTTACCATACTGCCCTTTTTCTACCCAAGAGATAGTTTTCATAGATTATGCCAGCTATGGTTCTTCCTTTTCCGACACCGGCACCATCACCAATTAAAAATCCAGCCCTGTCTCCATTGGGGAGGAATGTTTCATGTTGCTGCAAAAATATAATAAAATCACATTAAAATTCAATATAACAGAAGCCATCCTCCTGTCCCACCGTTTCTTTAACTGAACCAGCATCTTGTCAGTCAATGACAGAGCTTCCTATTCCAACATCCATGTAAAGCATGTGTGGATTTTTTAAATACCTGAGCGGCATATGTGATTGCTTCAAGCTGCAATGCTGACAGCCAGCCATTGTCAATACTCTCCTCAGGAATTGATGACTTGTACCAAACCTCAGGAGGGGTAACACTGGAAAGAGAGCTGGTTTCTACCACTGGGTCGGGGTGACGCAGGCCGATTTTTACTGGATGGAACATAGAGATCAATTATCGTAGGTTACTTTCTCTTGCAGGTTATATCAGCAATAGATACAGTATAGTGACTGTAATTTGAACATCTGCTCTTAATGTTAAAGAACAGCAGACACAACTGAAAATGTCAAAATATTTGCTAAAAAGAGACAGATGCAGTTTTGTTCTCTCCTGGTGTAATCCATGATAAACTCCTTCCCACCTGCTACTAAGGAGGCTGTTCAGGTCCTGAACCGGTGCTTGGCAGCTGTGATGGTCTGGATGAGGGAGAACAAATTGAAATGGAATCCAGACAAGACAGAGGTCCTCCTGGTCAGAAGAAAGGCCAAACAGGGCATAGCGTTACAGCCTGTGCTGTATGGGATTACACTCCCCCTGAAGATGCAGGTTTGCAGTTTGGGAGTGATCTTGGACTCATCGCTGAACCTAGAACCTCAGGTCTCGGCGGTAGCCAGGGGAGCTTTTGCAAAATAAAAACTTATGCGCCAGCAGCGACCGTATCTTGGGAAGTCTAACTTGGCTACGTTTGTCCATGCTCTGGTTACATCCCATATAGATTACTGCAATGTGCTCTACGTGAAGTTGCTTTTGAAGACTGCTCGGAAGCTACAATTGGTCCAATGGGCGGCAGACAGGCTGCTCACCGGAGCGGCGTACAGGGAACAAACCACCCCCCTGTTGCATCAGCTCCACTGGTTGCCAATCTGCAACTGAGCACAATTAAAAGCACTGGCTTTAGCCTATAAAGCCCTAAACAGTTCCGGCCCAGCCTACCTGTCTGAACGTATCTCCCCCTATGAACCATCTCGGAGATTAAGATCATCTGGGCAGGCCCTGCTCTCGGTCTCACCTTCTTCGCAAGTGCAGTTGGTGGGAATGAGAGAAAGCCTTCTCAGTGGTGGCCCCTCGATTGTGGAACTCCCTCCCTAGTGATATCAGGGCAGTCCCCTCCCTCCTAGTGTTTAGAAAGCGAGTCAAAACCTGGCTCTGGGAGCAGATGTCTGAAAAATAGAGCAGTGCAGGAATGTTCTTATGGAATATGTGCAATTTGACTATGGATTGGCCTTTAGACGACTCAGGATGACGTGATTCATTGAAATGTATTTTTATTATGCTTATTATGTTTTAATTTTTAACTTGTGTATTAACTGATATACGTTTTAAGGCACCATGGAGATGCAACTGTAAGCCACCTTGAGTCCCCCTCGGAGTACAGAAAGGCAGGATATAAATAAGGCAAATAAGTAAATAAATAAATTCAATCTCTTTCAATTTAAGAAAAATTCAAAGTACTACAATTCAGTGCCAGATGGGACCAAAAGAAAAAGAACTGGGCCCCAAACCACTATATATCTTACATCAATGCTTTAAGCCATGGGGACAGCTGGGTAATAAATGTATTGTTGTCAATATTATTTCAAATAAAGAAGTTGGGGGCCCTTCCAAAAACTGGGAAACTACCCAATGAGATTGTAATGTGCCCTAGAAAGAGCTGGAACTGGGTCCCAATGTGTGATGTGTCATTACAGTCATTTGTGTAATATTTCTCAACAATGAGCTTGGCCCACTTGCATTTGATCCAGAAACTTGACCTACAAAAAATCTCACTAAGATCTGCAAACATGTAAACCAACCAAAATGCCTGATTTTATCTCCTCAAAATCGAATATATAAAAGATGATTATTTGTATTCCAGACAATCCTTGTATTGGCTGGAAATTGATCAATTCCTCCTGGAGAAATAATACAGTGGGTGGCATCTGAACGGCCTGGAAAAATGCCTTTGGGCTTGGGATTCTACAAGGCAGTTCCCTTGCATTCTGTCACATGAAGCCTCCCTGTGCCCATTCACAAGCCATTTCTAAAGTCATCAAGAGTGTTTTAAAAAGCCTTGAGAGGAATAGAGGGCTGCAAGTGAAGGTTTCCACGTATTTATTTCTGAGTACACTCATGTATCACATGCACTCAAGCAGCTACTGGGGAAGAGCAGAGGACAAGTCGTGCTGTGTTTAATGGCACAACCGGACTCAAGCTGAAATAACATTCAGCTGCTGAGATGCATAGAGATGAAAGGGAAGTCGGAAGCTGCACAACTATATGGTTGTGCACAGAATGCGAGATGCATGAAGCAAGGAAATCAGGAAATTGTAAAGTAAGAAATAGCCACACCTGGAATGAGTAAGCAAACTGGACAGGAATGGGACATTAGTATCCGGAAGATAGAACTGTCTCAAAACCTGTGCAAGCCACTTAAGATGTACATTTTGACTAAGAACATAATGACAGACACACCAAGAAACCATAACCATCATCTACTTATAAAGAACATAATTATATCACTTCTATATTACACATTCTGGATGATATGTTACATATTGAAAAAACAGTGGAAGGTTAATTAAACCTACATTTTATAGGCATATACTCTGCATATGTCTCTGCGTGGCCCATTTCTTCTTCATCATCTTCTTCAGGTTCTTCTTCCTCTTTTGTTACTGGCACTTTCTGCAGCAAACATAAGAACCTGTTATACTGCTGAAAACAGAAGCAGCAGTTTAAAACTAGTCAAACAAAGAGAACATATGTAATACAAAGAATATTGTGTTGAATGGAAGGGAAATTGGGATGACAGAAACATTCCTTCAGCACCAATATACAATTCATGGGCTGCATAAATTCGCCTTCCCTTTCTGAGTCTCTCCTACATATGGAAGGGGATTATCAGTGTGAAAATGAACAAAGACTTTATCAGAACATCCTGCTTCTAAATACGCTTCTATGGATTCTAAAAAGGACTAGACCCTTTGAAACAGACTGCAAATATCCCAACTGGCCATGTTCACACCAGCTGTTATTGTTACAGAAGGATCAGAGGTCAAGGTTGCCTACTTTTGTTTTAAACCCTTGGTGAACATCTTCCTTAAGGCACTAGTCCCTGGTGGTGCAATGGGTTAAACCCTTGTGCCAGCAGGAGTGCTGAACGATAGGTCAGCAGTGCGAATCCGGCGAGAGCAGGTTGAGCTCCCTTTGTCAGCTCCAGCTTCCCATGCAGGGACATGAGAGAAGCCTCCCACAAGGATGGTAAAACATCAAAACATCCGGGCATCCCCTGGGCAACGTCCTTGCAGACGGTCAATTCTCTAACACCAGAAGCAACTTGCAGTTTCTCAAGTCGCTCTTCACACACACACACACACACACACACACACTAGCTCGCTCGAGTCCCATTCAAGGAAATAAGGAATATACATTAAATTAATGGCATGCTCTCTAGAGATACGAAAAAATCAGGTTTATTTGTCCTTTGAAGATATGGGGAGCAAGCATTGAGTGGTAGTCACACCATCTTGTACATACACAAACTTTTGTACCTCAATTGACTGCAAACTTTATATCCTAACTCTAAATTTCATAAGCAAGTTCTCAAACCTTAGCCTGGATAGCCAATGGTGAGGGGCTGTAGAAGTTGAAGGACAAAAACATGTAGAAGGCCACAAACAACATGAATCAAAGTTCCACTGTCACCAAAGGCTTTAGAGTAAGTGACATTATTAATCAGAAGTGTAGGCAGATAAAGCTGGGTGCAGTAACAGAAAAGCACCAAATGATCAGCTGTCTTGTGTCTGAATAGCAGAAAAAGTATCATTAGATCTCAATGTCCAGAAAGGCCTACTGCATAAACAGTTTTACCCAACGTTTCCTTCTCAGGAGATCTATATAACCAAAAATAACATTACATTTCAAAGCAAAGTTAACATCAGTTCTTACAAAATTGCACCTACCATTGTGGGAGAAAAGCTTCTCATTTTTAGATCATTTACCCATATTCTCGCGACTTCTTTCGTAGAGGCCTCCTTTTTTACAGCACCATTGCTCAAATCAGCTGCAAAGGTAATACTTAGAGTTAAGAATATTTACCAAACAGGAATTCCTGGAGTTTAGTCAATGCTTCCCCACAGTGATATTATCAACCACTGATCTTTAAACTAAACAGTACATAACAATGTATGAGTTTTTATGCTATTATAAAAGAATATTGAAATTCAGTATGTTTAACCCTTAAGAGGTTGCTAGCAGCTGGATTAAGACAGTAGCTGCAGAAGACACCCTTCACCACAGAATCACCTTTGTCACATGTGGGATAAGAAAAGGAAGCCCCACTCCAGTTTTAGCAGTGTAATGGATCTTACCTGATTTGGTGGCATTTACCACCTTTGGAGACACTACTATTATTTCTGAAAAAAAAGTCAACATTTTGGGTCTCAGGGTGACAATTCATCCAATGAACATAACACCTAGCAGCCCTCCGTGTGCAATTTGCTTGTTAAAGGAATTTATGACAATTCTACAGCCACTGAGCCTCAAACCCCCCCCCCCCCCCCGTTTACCCTCATCAAGACAAAGAGGAAGGAGGGAGAGCTCGTGTTTGTTTAAATTGTCTTTGAGGGGGACACCTATGGTGATTATGTGAGAAATCAAAAAAAAAAAATTTTTGAGATCTCAAAAATGGGGCTGCGACTATTATTATGCAATGAAATGTGGTACTTCCTAAACACAGGATTATTCATATTTCCTAGGGAAATGCTGAAGCGTTGCAAACATATCACAGGAACAGTTCAAGTAAAAAAGAAAAGGAATGTTTTCTAAAGCACCTGAGACAAATCTCCTGTGACAAAGGCTCTCCAAATTAGGCATGCTGTAGCTTCTCATGAACAAGTCAGCATTATCATTCATCTGAACTGTCCCACTATTTAGAAAAGCACAGTAACAAATCTGGCTTGTCAAGCACATCAACTTTAAGTTTTGCATTACAAGAGAGTTAAAATCATGTATTTTCCATGATCAAACAACCAAACTTGGAGAAAAGTGACAAAGCAATTTGGAAAGGGTGCCTGAGATTATTTTGTGGTGAAAAAAATCCATTGGTTGGTGCCCAACTCCACTTACTTGCAGCTGTTGCAACTGGTTGAGCTATGTTTGGAGGTGGTTTCAACTTCATCAGTTCATTTAGACTGTTGTTCTTGAGAAGGTCTTTCAACTGGATCTGGTCCTTTGGGGGTGGTGTTGTCAGGGTGTTCCGGGCAACAGGCATAGTAACTGACGGCCGGGTAGTGGTGCTTGTTTGTATAATTTTGGCTACAGTGATTGTTTGCCGGGTAGTGGTGACGGGAGTTGTTTTTGTCATTACTATGGTCGTTCCCAAAGTAGGGAGCTGGTTTATTTGATTCAAGACAAAGGTTGTGGTTGAGGGTGGTTGCTATGGGGAAAAACAGAACAAACATTAGGAGCTTCACTCATTACATTGGGTCAAATAGAGGTTAAGTATCTTTTGAATTCAATAAGCTCTCACTTTTGTAACCAAGACATTTGGGAAAAGTTCTTTCCTTTGTGGAAAATGGAAGGCCCAGTCTGAGAAATATTACAGAGTATTTCCAGTGACAGAAACTACCCAGTGATCATGCAGGACTATAACTTTCACCACCTTCACTTAATATGCCATTTTTGTTTTCATGTGATCTTTTTAATATAATGCATGACATTCCAATGTTTTTACTCTGAATTAAAGATCCTCCATTCACAAAATAAGAGTCATATTCACACAATAGATCCTTTTGCCAGTGCAACCCCTTGTCTGTGAATAACAAGCACCATAATCTATACAACAACAGGCTGGATTGCCACCACATTTGTTACTGTGCCGTGTTAATTTGTCTGAACACTGACTATCTTCCATAATTTTTTAACAAAAAAAAGAATAATTATGCTAAAATACTCAATAAAATGTTTTCTTAAACACTGTACTATGCAAACATAATGAACACTGAACACTGAACTCCACTTTACAGCTGCCCATGCAGAGAAGAGTCCTTCTGAACAACTTACTATACCGAACAAGTCATCCTCCAACACAAAGACATGTCTAGAGGAGCTCTGGGAATATTTAGATGCTTAATGATCAGGTTCATTAAGAAGTCACGTTTCCTACCCTGATATTCAATACAGTTGGTGAAGACGTAGCCTGTGGCTCTGCTTTGACAGCAACTGATGCTTCCGTCTCCAAGCCCATTTCTAATGTATTAAATGGTACTGACTAAAAACAAAGAGAAGAAAAGTTATGCTGGTAGAATACTGGAAACAGTATAAATTGCTTGCCCTTTGACCATAAGAGAAATCCTGGAGAAGACGCCATGCAGGCATGCATACAATGCCCACAATCGTGAATAGCCTAGAAGTGTAATAGTTCTGCATCCAGAACCATGGTAGACCTGCTCTTTCAATACTCCGTCCTCAAACTACCATTGAGTCACCACAGCTTCCTTGCCACCAGCCTGTAGCTGGTGATTTGAGAAGCACCTGGCTACATCCTGACATCCAAATGCAAAATGATGACATCATCCAATATGTGTTTTGGCCTACAACTCCCAGAAATCCCAGCCAGTTTACCACTGTTAGGATTTCTGGGAGTTGGATACCAAATCATCTGAGGACCCACAGGTTGAGAACCAATGTGCTAGGATATTCCTGAGGTCTCAGTAGATTAAATAATCTTGTGCCTGGCTATGAGGACATAGCTTTGCTGATTTTCCATCTCCCTAAGCTAAATAATGGCTTTGGGTGGGGGAGCAGTGTTACACAGTAAGATGGGGTGATGGTGGCTCTGGACATTGCAAAGGGTAGAAAATACCAGTCAATGTAATTTCAAAAAAGCATATGCATATCAAGTGCAATCTCATGCCTGAAAATGCCACTAGCAGGACACTAGCCAATAGGTTTGCAAGACTATTATGAATACCTCTCAACTCAACTCCCTCCTTTAACATAATTCAAGCAAGTTAAAAGTCCACACCAGCAGACTGCCAATTGTCACCACTAACTACAACACATCATCGATCAAGCTGCTGCTTTATTACTCTAACTATACAATCCTATGCAGATTTACTCAGAAGTATGCCTCCTGTGTTGATTATGCACACTCCCAGGAAAATAAATTAAAATTACAGATGAAAATTTTATTTTTGCTACTGGCAGAAGAAGCAATGCAAAATGTTACATCCTCCCAGGAGAAAATTGGCAAGATTTCCTAGGTGAGGTCCCATGATCGGAAATGGTCACAGGGAACTTCATGATGCTTATGTACTTTTCAAATGCAAAATACGGAAGACATAGTTCCAAACAATTCCAATAAAGTATATAAAGAAGCCAAGAAATTTCATGAGCTGAAATTTAAGAGAGACATATATAAGAATAGAAAGAGCCATCTGCAAAGAGGAATACAGTGAATAGTCAGAAGTTGTAGAGGAAAGTAAGAAAAGCTCAGGCTACCTAGACAGGTTAAAAAAATAAAATTAAAAATGGTTAGGAGGAAGAACAGGAGCATGAGGAAGAACAAGTACAGCCACTGCATAAAAAAGATGGTGAAATGCTTAGAAGGAACAGTTCAATATCGCTTTGTCTTAAGTCTTCTCCCAAGAGAAAGCTCTAACTGGGAAATACAAAATAAACCATGCAGTGAAATGGCTACAGCTCAGGATAAAGAGGTAGTAAAGGAATTACCAGCTACTCTAGAATAATGCAAATCTCCAAAGTCAGAGGAACTGTAGTCAAAAGTACTAACAGAACCTGCAACTGTAATTTCAGAGTGACTATCAATAATCTGTCAGATTTATTGCAGAATAGGAGATGTCTCAACAGATTGGAGGAAAGCAAATGTTATTCCCATCCTCAAGAGTGGAGAAAATGAGATCCCAAGCAGTAATCCTGATCATCAATATAATATGCAGTTATGTGATGCAGACTATTTTCATTTTTTTTTGTTCTGTTGAGGTTCTATCATTAAATGAAAATGTCTACTTTCTGTAATATATGTCAAAAAGAGGAATCTTAAAGCATTTAAAAAAAATCTTGACATCAATATCAGGAAAAGTTCTAGAACAGATTATGTATTATTATTATTATTATTATTATTATTATTGACATTTGTATCCCGTCCTATCTCAACCTCCGCAGAGGGACTCAGGGAGGCTAACAACCGGCACACCGTGGTGCCCACAACCAAAAGCATAAACAATTTAAATAAAAACAATATAAAAACAGAATAAAAACATTCAAACAGTCGCCAATTTAAGTCATTGTCCTTAAAGCAGTCTGTCAAGTCCATTAAAGCCGTCCCTTTGCCAGCAGGTCAGCCTAGTCTACATTAAATGATCAGTCTGTGCATGTTTTAAAAAGGAATGCTGTGATTACTAAAAGCCAGCACGAGTTTCTCAAAAATCAAGTCATGCCAAACTAATCTTATCTTATTTCTGATAAGAGTTACAGATTTGATTGATTAGGAGAATGCCATGGATGTAGTGTATCTTGATTTCATTAAGCTTTCAACAACACTTCCAATGATATTCATAGAAGCAAGCTGGTGAACTGTGAGCTAGATGGTGATACTCTTAAGTGAACTTGTTATCAATTGAAAAGCCAAAGCCAAAGAGTGCTCATCAATGGAGGCTCATCTTTCTGGAGTAAAGTGAAGAGTTGAGTATCTCAGAATTCTGTTTTGAGTCCACTGTTGTTCAAAATCTTTATGAATGAATTAGATGATGGAGCAGAATAACATTTCACATTTTGTACTGTTTCTAAATTGAAAATACAATTAATTTGTTATAAAGTATAGAATCTTATAAGGGGGCATTGGTTTAGCCCCTTGCTATGCAAGAATACACCACTAAAGAACTGCAAAATGGCCATCCAACCAATCTGAAACACCTTCAAAAAAGGAGAATGGACCCTCATCCTCTCATGGCCATATGTTTCACTGTCAAACAGTTAAATAAGTGGGTTGTTGTAGATTTTTCGGGCTATATGGCCATGTTCTAGAGGCATTCTCTCCTGACGTTTCGCCTGCATCTATGGCAAGCATCCTCAGAGGTAGTGCGGTCTGTTGGAACTAGAAAAGTGGGTTTATATATCTGTGGAATGACCAGGGTGGGACAAAGAAGTTAAATAAGTTCTTATTAATGCTTAGGTAAGGTCTCTTTTCTTGTGTTTAAATCTGTTGGTTTGTGTTTAAATCTGTGGAGCAGCAGGAAACCAGCTGGCTCCCTTCATATATTTAAAAATGGCTATCATGTCATCTCTCAGTTTTCTCTTCTCCACTCCAAACGTACCCAGGTCCCTAAGTCATTCTACACAGAGTTTGGTTTCTAGAGCTTTGAACATTTTGATCACCTTTTTCTGGATATGTTCCAGCTTGTCAGTGTTCTCCAACTGTTGGCCCAGAACTGGATACAGTATTCAAGGTAAATCCAACAAAGTAGAATAGTATGGCACTACTACCACCCTCATCTTAAAATTACAATCTTATTGATGTAGCCTAGAAACACATTGGATTTTGGGCTGCCACATCATCCTGTTGACTCACAATTAGCTTATGGCCTACTAACATTTATTCCTCTTGACAATAATTTTCTTACTCTTGGTTGAGTTTTCCCATCTGTTGATGTCATTTTGAATTCTGATACTGTTCTTTGGGGTATTTGCTACCCTCTCCTATTTGGTAACATCTGCATATTTGATACGCATGACTTTCATTGCATGTCACCTCAGTTCTAGTCTCAACCATTATATCATTGTGTTTTGTAGGTTCACATTTTATGAAGACAATATTTACAATTATATCAGAGTCAGTCCCAATTTTGAAGGGGGCATCCAGCTTAGGGGTCACATTGCCACAGCTAGTACACGTACTAGACAAGTGATTACTACAATATGAAACTTCTCCTTTTCTAATAAATCTAACAAAACATGTATTTAAAGAAAATAATTTCAAAGTCATGATAAAATGATCCAGTTTAAGTGCTTATAGATTTTTCACCTGTTGAGCAGTTGGAGTTGGGGTTGAAAGACCCATATCTGCAGAATCAATATCAAACAGATCATTTGGACTGATCCCACTCTCGCTCAAAGCAGCAAGCAACAAGTCTTGTCCTGGTTCCACCATCTCTGGAGAAAAACAAAAAGCAAGCTACAATTAGACCATTTCAGTTGAAGCAAATGATCATACTGAAAGAACGCTAGGCAATATTTCTTACAGTTACTCCTTTCCATGAGTGACAATATAATTTCAATAGTTACAAGATGACAGCTACTATAATATACAAAAATACTGTACAGACGTTGTTACTGTATGAAATATGGCTAGTGAAAATCCCTTTTCTGTCATTATGTGAAGAGCTGCAAATCCTGTTAGTTAAAGGCGATCAACATCGGTCATTCCTCTGCTTGCCTATCTGCTCTCACTATTATGCCTTTAGGTTGCACTGCAAACATACATTGGGAGTTGTAGAACTTCTGTTTTGTTTTTTACTATGATGCATGTGCATGTATGGCAAGTCGCCTGTGAACATCACATTTTCTTAGCACAAGAATCCTTAGAGATGGTTTTGCCACTTCTTTCCTCTGAAATAAAGCCTACAGCATTGGCAGTCTCCTATCCATGGACTAACCTGGGCTGACTCTAGTTAGCTCCCAAGATCGGATGTGATCTCACGCTTTTGGGGATTTGGATCATATTACTAAAAAGTTTTTAAAATCTGACAACCACAGATATGAAGAGCACTGCAGGACCCTGCTTCCCCAGCCTAGAGATGGGCAACCTAAGCAAGTCACAAGCTTGTGAATTATGCATTAGATACTTCTGCTCTCTTTTAGGGGAAAGATGTATTTCATGTGTAACTTGCAGCATCATGTCTCAGGATTAACCACACATCCAAGCTAAGTGTACAAAAATGTCAGAAAATTCCTCCAATCTCATGTTCAATATTTAAGGTGTCTTTTGGCTACTTGATATGGAATGAGCTCACTGGTCCGTTGTTGTTGTTAATTGCTGACAATAGCTGGTGACCCAACACTGTATGGTTGCCACAGAGTGACCACATTAAACACTGCAGCTAAGCAAGGTTGGAGACAGTTTCTCTTTCATTTATTGCAACTGTCTGCATTCAGAGCACACTACTGCCCCCTTATCCATAGATTCAATATCCATGGCTTCAATTACCAATGCTCCAAAGATATTCCCCCAAAGTGTTTGTGGGCCTCTCAAGCTTCCCCAGTGCAATTCTTTGCTATGCTTCCAGCTCAAGAAAAGTCAAAAGGAGTAGGTGTCTTGGGACATGCCCCCAATGATATACTGTACTGGAATCCCTTTCTTGCAGCCGTTTATCAAGCAAGGTGATACCACTGCTATCTTGCAAACACACAAACCAGGGGCAACATTTCTCAGAGATGGTTTAAGAATCTAAGGAAATACTACAGCAAGTCACTTAACACCATGGACTGAACCAACTAGGCAAGGTTTTGTAACCATGAATATTTCCTTACCAAGAGGTTTGGTTACTTTGAGTCTATGTGGCAGACTGCCAAAAAATAGTATAAATGTAACAAATACATCACCTAACAATGTTACTTTGTTTCAGACTCACTAAAGCAGCAGATTTCAACTTCTATCACACTTCTAAGGTTACAGAGTTATACACATATATTCAATTTCCAAAATATTAATTTGATATTTTCACACCTGCACTTTTGTTGTGGTTATTTCAATATGCATCTGACACTGTTGTCACTGGTACCTTAAAGCTTAGGTATTGTACAGAGCACACTCCATAGCAAAACACAATACATTGCCTATGAGAATTATCCTAATAATATTTAACAGAATTTAAATTTCATTGAACTGATGGTCAACATGACTAGAACTTGTGTACAACCACTGCAGCTAAAAGCCTCATATTCCATGGTGGATGCATAGCTTACAGATATCAATCTGTTTTAGAAAATACAATCAAGCTTATTACATTTGCTTATCTGCCTAGCCTATGGCCTGTATATTTGTTTTCACAGCAAAATTTGTTTTGAAAGTTGGATTAAGCTCCTCGCTCATCACCCAGCTCTCTTTTGTAAAAGGAGATTTATGTGAAACAGGACACTTCTGCCTCACAATAAATAAAGAAAAACATAGGTGTTCAGTAAAAAAAAACAACCCTGTATGTTTTGATAACAAGAGATATGGCAACCATGGATTTTCCAATAAAATACTTAACAATGCCTCCCCTATTACACAGAGCTTACACAGAGCCTTGCTTACATTTGCAGAGTTAAACAAATTAATTTCCCGATCTTTCAGCTGATTGCCTCCATGCAATTGTGTCCAGTTCTCCAGATCTCTGAAAGAATTCACCTATAAACTCCGGACTGTGACAAAAGGTTCCTCCACAGTCATATAACTCAGAATCTTGAGGCAGAAAATCCCACAACATCTGCTTTGAACTGGGTTATCTGAGTCCACACAGCCATATATTCCAGTTCAAAGCAGATAATGTGGGATTTTATTCAGCTGTGTAGAAGGGGTTTTTACCTTTCACATAAAACCACATGTGCAGGACATAAACTTCCGGTTTGATTAGACGTGACTGCACAATTGTCTTGTGCACACCATTTATGCTCAAGTTTAAAAGTACCCTTATGAGCAGAAAGCAAGAGACTGAAAAGGCCTAGGAGAAGCAAAAAAAGGTTCAGTTTTTGCACAAACCTTTTAGGTACTACAAGAAAAAAGAAGGTTATGAACATTTGGAAACAAAAAAGCATTTCTGCTTAGTCAACCAGGAAGAAATAACTGCTCCCCGCCCCATTTTAAAAGGCAGCTGATCCTTTTCAGTCACCCAATGAGACAGCTCAGGGGCATCATTTGACAAAGAACAATCAGCCAAAGCTTGCAATTTATTTTACATAAAGAAAGGAAGGCAATTACCAGCTCACTGAAGGAAACTCCATTTGCACATAGGCTCCTACTGCCAGTGGCAGACTGCAATGAAGTTCTGGGATCTCTCTAGCTGATGTATGAGCAATCTCTGTATGCGCGCGCAGAGAACACAGCAGACCACCTCACAAGCATATTCAAAATCCTGAGCTGTGCAGCCAAGGCGATGATTGGAAAGTCTTGCTCCTTTCCCCACTCACCCATTTCTTGCCTTCGCCACTATTAGCATTTTCACCGTAACCTAAGTAAAGCATGGGCACCAGGCGCACTGACAGAGCTCTGATCAACACAGAAGGCTGGCCCCATATTGTTTATAGCTCCTTCCTTCAGAGACAGGGGATGCTAAGCAATGAATTCTAAAAAGGGGAAAGCTTCATCTGGCCAGCTGAAAGGAAAACACCTCAACCTTATCATCTCTAAACAACATCCAGAATTGAGAAAACCATAGCCTCATAAAGAGATGTGAGAGCTATGTTTAAATATTGAAAATGGTGTCATATTGAGGAGGTGAGCTTGTTTTCACCAAAGTCTAGGACACATTGGAGAAATGGAGGCAAATTCCAAGGAAAGAGATTCTACCTAAACATTAGGAGGAATCTCCTGACGGTAAGAGCTGTTTGACAGTAGAATAAGCTGCTTCCTTAAAGTCTAGTGGAGTCTCCTCTGGAAATTTTTAAAGAAAAGGCAGTATGGCCATCTGTCGAGAGGGCTTTGATAGTGTGTTCCTGCATGGTAGAATGGGGTTGCATGACCCTCTAGGTCTCTTCTGGCTCTAGGATTCAATATTGAGTAGCCCTGAAAGCCCTGTGTGGCACCTCACTGGTCACTTCTCTCCAGGATGAAGGAGGAGCCATTGGGAAGCATGTTTTGGCTTCATCAGTTTAACCAATTCCCAGTCTGACTCAGGGTAGCATCATCTAGCCCAGGGCTTCTTAAACTTTCCCACTTGGGACTCCTTTCTACCTGAGAAATTTTGAAGTGACCTCAGGTATGTAGGGAGACAAACCAAACATGGGCCAATCGCAGAACAGCATGGGCAAGCCTTACTAGAGAGGGTAATTGTCCTTTCTGTGGAGCAGAACTGAAGCCTGCTGTAAACCCTGCATGTTGTTGCTAACTGGTCTATGCAAACTGGTGGCCTTCAGACACCTTTTCCTGTTGCCTGATTTGTGGAGCCCAACACTGAGGGCCCTTCCAGACAGCTGAATAAAATCCCACATTTTCTGCTTTGAACTGGAATATATGACAATGTTGACTCAGATAACCCAGTTCCAAGCAGATGTTGTGGGATTTTCTACCTTGAGATTCTGGATTCTATGGCTGTGTGGAAGGGCCCTATGAGAAGAGCCACTCCAGAGCAAAAGCCAGGGGCAAACCTGAGGAATACAGCATGCGAGACGGGGGGGGGGGGGGGGGGGGGGTGTGAGGGATTAAGAGGTGGAAGGAGCCTGGGCAGGAAGCCAAGGGCAGGCGCTGGGCCCCTTTCTTCTCTCCCGCCTCGCCTCCATCTGGAGCCCAGCGTATGGCGGACCACGACTCAGCGCAAAGGGCTTCCACATGGGAGGAAAGGAGATTCCACCTGAACACGAGGAAGAACTTCCTGGCTGTGAGAAGAGCTGTTCAGCAGTGGAACTCTCTGCCTGGGAGTCCGGTGGAGGCTCCTCCTTTGGAGGCGTTGAAGCAGAAGCTGGATGGCCATCTGTCGAGAATGCTTTGGTTGTGCTTTCTCTGGCAAAATGGGTTTGACCTGGATGGCCCCGGGGGTCTGGAAGCCGAGTCCAGGGTGAGAAGGGGTCCTCAGAGCAGGACCAGGGGCCGGGGGAAATGGGAAGGGGGGGCTGCCGAAAAATGGTGGCTGTTTCCCCCTCCCCAAAGAGGAGGAGGAGAAACCAAAACAAAAACAAGGCAGGCGAAGACTTGGGACTCACTCTGGCCGCCTGTCAGCTCTCCCACCGAGCGCCGGGCCTCCTTGCAGCTTCCCTCCGCCGCTGCGACTCAGCCTGCCTGCTAGCCCTCGCTCGCCTCTCCTGCGCCGCCGCTCCGTCTGCAGCTTTCTAACTCGCCGCCGCCATCTTTGCCCTCCCTCCCCTCCTCCCCCTCTCGCGGGAGGAGGGGGGCGGCGGCGCGGGAGGGGGAGGGAGGGGGAGCGCCGTCGGCGGCGACGCCACACCACGTGACCCCAGCAGCTGCCTCGCTTGATTGACTGCCAGGCCGCTCCTGCCGCGCGGACCGCCCCTCCGCCACCACGTGACCTCTCTCGCTCGCTCTCTCTCTCTTCCCGACTCGCAGAACTACGCACGCGCAAACGCGGCCTCTTTCTCCTCGTCAGGCGGCGAAGCTCTTCGCCCAGCTCTTGCCGCGTCACATGGCGCCTCGTCCCGCCGCCGCCGCCGCCGCCTTTTACCTCAGCAGCAGGCGAAAGGGGAGGAGCGCAAGAAAAGGGGGGGAAACAGGCGCGGGTCGAGGATGGCCTCCGAGAAGCTTTTCCGAGCCAATCCGGCGGCTGCCTCATGATGGGCTCGAGCCCCCTCCCCCCCCAGGCCCGTGTTTGTTTGTTTTTTCTCGTTGGGAGGGGCGGAGAGGAGGAGGCAGAGGCAACGGCCGTTAGGAGACACGTGACCCGTCTCGCCAAAATGGTGAAGCGCCGCGTAACTACGCGAGGAAAAGAAGTCGCGCCTTTGTGGCGAGAATGCTCTCCCGGTGCATGACGGGAGAGAGGGTTCTTGTAGCCAAAGCATTCCTGAGCGAACACTTCCCGCCTCAGGACTGCGCAGGCGCTTGTCGGATTTCCGAGTTGAGAGCCAACTCTGCGGAACACTGGGAACCCTTCCACACAGCCGTATAAAATCCCCACTGAACATATGGCAGTGTGGATTTAGGGCTCTTCCAGACAGCCCTGTATCCCAGAATATCAAGGCAGAAAATCCCACATCTGAGTATAGATTCAGATAACCCAGGGCCCTTCCACACAGTCATGTAACCCAGAATATCAAGGCAGAAAATCCCACAAGATCTGCTTTGAACTAGGTTATTTGAGTCCACACTGCCACATATCCCAGTTCAAAGCAGATAATGTGGGATTTTATTCAGCTGTGTCAAAGGGGCTCGAGTCGGAAGCAGATGTGATGGATTGTTGTTCATTCGTTCAGTCACTGAACCAGCCCGCACCAGAGCTCCCTGTTGGCTGTCACCACCCCCAGTTCCTTCAAGGTTAAGCCAATCACTTCAAGGATACCATCCATCCATCTTGCCCTTGGTCGGCCCCTCTTCCTTTTTCCTTGATGGATTATCTGCCTTGATATTCTGGGGGCCCTTCCAGGCATCTGAATAAAATCCCATATTATCTGCTTTGAACTGGAATATATGGCAGTGTGAATTGAGATAACCTAGGACCCTTCCAGACAGGCCCAGAATATCAAGGCAGATAATCCACAATGTCTGCTTTGAACTGGGGGCCCTTCCACACAGCCCTATATGTAGGCTTAACATCTTTGCCTACAAGAACAGGAGAAAGAAGGTATACATGATATATGAATACTTCCGGTATGATGG